ATGTTTTTAAATCGCCTTAAAAGTGATTATGTCCTTTCCTAGAAAAAGATTGTAATGGGAAAAAAAGATCGTTGTGCCGTGTTTGGATGTAATAATGATCGCCTTTTTCCCGAGAAATATACAGTAAGTTCTCTTTTTGCCTCAAAAGCGTACGTAAATACTGAGCGAGAGCCCCCTGGGCATCCCATAATACCTTTTAAAATTAATAAATTCAATATGGCTGCCGTATCGATTTATTTTACCATATTGAGTTTTGGGAATCGACTATAAAGAATCCGGAAAACTTTTTATATTAAACGTTAAACATCACTCCGTGTATTTTAAAAATTGTTTATATTGGTTATATTTAAGATCTGAAATGTTTGTTTTAATTTCTACTAACAGATAGCAATAATTTGCAAGCTGTCGTGACGTCTAAATAGTGGATGCATCAGCCACTAACTGGTTCTGTTCAGTGTTATTTCTAAATAATCTTGATTAGAATTTTTTTCATAAAAACTGACAGTTTAATACCACTAGATTTGACGATATCTAAAACCTTCGCTCAATTTTTTTTTGTGGCGGAACAGTTTGTGGCTTAAACAGGTGTTCTTGTGGTCTCTTAATGCTGTATCACCCGCTAAAAATTATTGAAATTTAAGCGTAACTTTTGGCTTAAAAAACTGCTGATTTGCCCAAAATAGTATATTTATCGAAAAAAAGGAACTTCTTAAATATGTTTTGTTCATCATGTGACATTGATGATGGACAGAGTTATGTGAGGTCATCAGTCGTGACAAGATGTAATATGACTTAGAATGAAATAGTTATAAAACTCTAAATATTCGTTGAGCTTAAAAAAATTGCTACGCTGAGAGAGAATTGACAATTGGAGGAAGAGAACAAGCTGAAGGGAATCGAATGAAAAAAAGAAAAATTTTATCTCAAAGAGAATATCGAGTCGTTTGTTCAGCATTAAGACCACTTCTTCCCTGCTACAGCTAAAGCAACGCCCAATTTCCATAACGGAGTTATCATGTTACTACTCTATTTTCCTGTAACAGTGAAAACAAGGCGTATTGAGAAATTATTCAACAGAAAACAGATAGCTAGGACGATTGATTACCGTATCAATTAACCCACGTGGGTTCTCGCAATAACACTAGGAGGTCATAAAAACAAATTTTGGACCAGTTAGACGGAACATCGTGTCTCAATTATTCAATTATAGTCAATAAACACCAAGGCATTGCCTTTTCGCTGATAAATAACAACTGCCCATCTAATTTGTTAATAGATAGCTATGCGTTTGAGCTTAGAATTTCATAGCAGTGGAAAGGCGCCTTTTCAAACAAAATACCGTTATTCACTGAATGGTGATCTAAATTTATATTTACCTCTTGGATAACTGAAATCAGACTTTTTAGTGCCTTTTTTCTTTGGATTTTCACTCTAAAAGAAGGCACAGAACTAAAAATTATGGAAATATTTATTCCAAATTTCAGTTGAGTCCGGACAACTAGATTATGGTGTGCCAGAAAACGTCTGAAAATAACTTGATGTATGGTGAACACAGCTGCAGCTTACTGTTCTTGCATAATTTGTAAATGATCTTTGAGAAATTCGTAGAAATAGAGTTCTGTAAGTCGACCTTGTTGAATACCACTCGTTTTATCGATCTGAGAACATTTTCTTATTTAAAACCACCGCTGCGAGAGTCATCAAAGTTAACAGTTTCTTATGGGTGGAAACGCATAAACACATCTTTGAATGAACTTTCTTGTTAAAAGCCTAATGGTGCTCGACAGGCTATGATCTACTGTAAAATTTAAACTATTCAACGAAAGTGCTACTTTGACGTCATTTTAATTGATTAACATACTGCCGAGTGAGAGTGAGAGTTCAAGTCACCTATCTCAGTTTGACACTAGCAGCTATTTACTGCATTTCTATCATTTTCAGATACGAACTAGAACTAAAACCGTCTAAATGTGGCTTGACAGTCTACAAGCAACCCAAAGTGAATAAATTGTGAAGGAGGAAAACTAGTACTTTTTAACACTGGAGTTCCAATACGGTTCAGTACTTAGAGAGGCGAAAGCTCCAGTTAAGAGAAGCGAAACCTAACTACTTTTTACTCGCAAGTCACAAAAATGAAAAATCCAAAAATCATGAGCTAACCGCAGGCAAACGTTTAGCACATTTTGGCGGATCTTTTTCTTTTCGTGGTATGTTATTAACGATATAGGCAAATGTAAGTTAGGGCATATGAAACATGTATTTTTTAGTTTAATAAAATTATATTTTATATTTTCTAATAATATTAGTTTTTAGCTTAATAAAAAAGAGACTTTGATTTGTTTGAAGCTCACTCGCACGAAATTACTTTAAAAATAGCATGGGGAATTAGCATTGACTTTCTCACTGGATTCCCTGGGGGTAGTACTGCCTGGAATGTCTCTGAAGGACTTATCAGGACAGTCCCTTCCTTAATGACTCCTAATGCGCTGTAACCGCAGGGATTACGTGCGTTTTTACGTATGCCACATTTATGTAATCTCTTGGTATTGCAGGGTCTTTGTATTTAGACGGTGTTTTTTATACCGCACAGTATGTTGCCCAGTATCCGAACGGTACCAGTATCCGGACACTTGAAACAAACACTCAATTTTTGAGGCGCCCTTTTCAGTTCTCGGTAAAAGAACTATTTCGAATGAAAGCTGAACATTTCAGCTTTAAGACGAAAGTTTTGGCGATTTGAAAGCTTGCGAAACAGTTGCAGAAGACGCCGTTCTGTTCAGGTGAATAGACATTTCATGGCTAATATTTACGCTGTTTACTGCGCAGTAAAATTAGTGCTGCTCAGAAAAGGGAGGGTAATGTGTAATATTTTCAAAAAAACTGTTTTATTATTAAAGTGAAAATACTTAAGGAAGTCAGGTTTTCAGAACGTACGTTTATTAATTCTTCTTGAAATTCGATTTGTTTGGAATAATGGAGGCCAGAAACATTCACTAAGTATTGATGTCTGGTGCCCAGTATCCGGACAGTTTTTTCTTTGCTGTACAGAATCGATGAATTAGCTCTATACATTTTCCGGATAAGATTTATTTCATATCAGTAACTATAATTAAAGCTTAGGATATATGATACAGTCGTAAAATGTAATTCCACTCAACTCCGTATGGAAATTTTCTTCACTAATTCAGAGGCGACTTGATTTCGTGTGCACGGCTTGTTTCGAGTGACTGTATTTTCTATATAGATAACCGAAAGCGTCAGAGTTGAACCTGGAATTCTCATACTTTCTCCAGTTGTGACTGCTAGAATGGGGTTGCAACGGTCTCAAAAATGTCACAAAGGGATTGAGAGATGTGAAAGAAGGACAGCTGGAAGGAGGAATTAGTGCTAGAAAATCGCGCTTATTGTGGGGACTGGGCATGAAGAAATCAACACTGCAAGTCAGACTAAATAGGAGAGTGACCTTTGACCGTCGGATTGAGGTCCCTTCCCCAAGCTTTTTTTTAAATAAAAAATGAAGAAAAAAAGTCGTTTGCAGATTGGCTAATTGAGCTTGCAAACTGCGGCTTCGGCATGTCCACGGATGCCTACCTTAAATCATTGAAAAAGTTCCTAGACAAGGAAGTGAGAATTATACCATTTTTAAAACAGCCGCTCGCGTTCTCCACCATACCCCAGTCATTTGTTATGTTTTATTTCAAGATGCTAGGTTATATTTATGGAATCGATTGCCAGACTACTTTGCAAGTGCAAGACTTCGAATATTCAGCGAACGGACAGCTTTAAATACATGTTAATGCAACAATAACAACACAGGCCTATGACCCGTTGTATCCTCGAGACGTTTTTATAATTAAAGCGCTACCTTTGTTTCCGTTTTTTCAAAAACTGTCTTTCGTCATATTAAGGAGTAAATAGATTTTTCTCTGGGCCAAATTTCAGAGCTCTTGCGATAAGCAAAGGAAAGTTATTGCAATTTTAAACTGAAGTGTCCGGATACTGGGCAACATACTTTAATGTGAAAGTTTTTGTCCGACAGAGACAACAACAACGTCACAGAGAATACAATTTTTCTCTCGTTCGTACTTACTTATCAATGATTTCAGGTATTTCGACAGATACATGTGTGCTTAAATGTTAATTAAAATGGTTACTAAATGTAGCAATTAAGCCATATTATTATTAATTCAAAATATTTCCCCGATGCTGATTGGCTAAAAGCACACGCATAATTCACCATAACCGGCTACTGATGACCAAATTTGGAATAATTTTGCGATATATCAACCGATGACGTCAAAAGTGCAGCTTCCTTGTAGGTTAATGCAACGTTAACCGAGAAGACCTGGGGACGAGGTTGAGTTGTTTTGGTTTTGAAAACAAAAATGGCGGACATTTCACTCGTTGCAAGAGCAAGAACTAGGCGAAATAATAGCTAAAAACATGGCATGAACAGCAAGAACACAACTCGAAGAGCGACATCTCCTATTTGGAGAACATTTGCGGAGCTGAACAACCCTAAACGTGCACTATCGAAGATGAACTTAACATCGATGGAGGTAAGCATGTCTTAGCTATGTTTTTAAATAAGGAATTATTTTGAATGAATGATAAACTATTATTGAATTAGTCTTTCGTATCATATGAAGAATTATGGGGATCTCGGAGGGCGTTCTCCACCTCGGTCAACGGCCTGGACGGATAACACTCTCCTCGATCTCCACATTTCTTCCTAAGATACTCAGCCTCATTCATTCACATAAATCAACTTCACCAATTTTTGCAGTAAAATAAACACGCCTCTATTAAGTAATATCCGGGGCAAAATATGTCAAACAATGACTTCGATTTTAAATTATTTGATAATTTTCTTTTTCAGCAGTTGTTTTGCTCGGTTTATTTTGAAATGTGAGGAAGTAAAGAGATCCCAACAGTTTCGGATTCAACGCTCTCACTAATAACCGGATACTTTAAAGCCCTTGAAAACGTGGTTCTTTACGATGGAAAATTCGCTTTTCATCTTACAATGCGTATTCCCTGCCTGTTTATCAGTTACCACAGTCGCGTTCAATGCAGTAGCGATTCTTGCTTTAAGAAGAACGTTGGCGTTACCAAAGAACTTTAAACTATTGCTCCTGAGTATGGCTGTTTCCGATGTTGGTGTTAGTTTACTTGTTCAACCTCTGTACGTGGCAATAACCGTTATGTTTAAAGAAAAAAGCCCTGATCAATCAATCAATCAATCAACAACTTATTTAACCACGTTAACGTCTACGAACACAAGTGCTCGTTCAAAATACGAACTTGATACTTATCTTGTCATATTAAAAGGTGCCTACTTCTTCGCAACAAATTTTATTTGTGCTGCTTCGTTAATTGGAGTCACAGCTCTAGCTGCTGATAGATTCTTGGCAATTCATCTTCATCTAAGATACCACGAATTTGTGACTTATAACCGTGTTGTTTTTGTAGTGATCTTGATTTGGATGTCCAGCGCAGTTATAGGACTTCTTTTTTTATGGGACCTTTCGGTAGGCTTCGCCTCTGTCCCTGTTACTACGATTGTTTGTCTTGTCGTTATTACCCTATTTTATCTTAAGATATACTTGGCAGTAAAATACCACACAGAACAAATTGCCGCCATGCAAGCATTCGATGGAGGAGAGATTAATAAAGAAAAGCAGCGGAACGCCGAGAAACAGAAAAAAGCTGCGATTACGATTTTCTGTGTATATCTTGTGCTTGTGGTCTGCTATTTACCGAATTTAATTCTTACTTGTATAAGGCTTGCAGACGAAAAATTTACTACCGCAAAGTCTTTACTGTTTTTCAATGATTTGTTAATTTTTCTGAATTCATCCTTAAATCCTCTGATCTACTGCTGGAAGATGAAACACATTCAACATGCCGTTAGAAATATACTTGTAAATATCTTCTCATGTCTCAGCTGAGGAAAGCTTTCGTCAGATAACAGTGATTGAATAAGTAAAATACAGCAAGTTATTGACATCAGCATAAGAAGTCATTTTTGTTATGTTTGTTCAGTTTATTTTGTATTTTGTATATACTACGCTATATTTAAGCTAATAGCCCGGAAGTATAAGAGATGCGAAACAATATGTCACATGTTACGTATTTATAAAAAGGAACTGAAAGAAAAGAAATAAAAAATCAACTTATGTGCCCCTTGATTTCTTACTAATAAACTCCTGCAGCCACTGACAATGTGCTGATTGCTGAGGGTGACCAGAAAATGAGTTGTACAAGCTCTAAGCCACTGGGTCTGTTTACATGGAGGTGGGGGACTTCCGGAAGGTATAGTAACTCGTCTGGTGGGTAACCCTCCAGTCCATATACAGTGGAACCCTGCCATGAAAAAAAACATCCGAAAACCCGGCAGAATTACAGTAAAATATGTGGAAACGAACTCCGCTATAACGAATAGATTTTGACGGTTCCAACGCACAATTTACCCAGCTGTAACGAGTATTTTGTTTGGTCGCTCGCAGCAGTCAGTAAAAAGGACAGATTTGAGTAGAAATTCCAGCTTGCTTTAATTGAAAGGGTTTTGGAATTTGATGTCTTGCTTTTCTGCGCTTTACACTTACAGTTTACAGTACGTATCAAATGAATATTAAATAGTGTTTTCTACGTTTTGGTAGTTGTTATATAATAAACTACCCCGCTATAGCGAATATTTTTGCTGTTAACCAGATTATTCGTTATAACAGGATCTTTGCTATCACTGAACACCAGGCTATAACGAACAATTTTTTCGGTACCGTGGCACTTCGTTATAGCGGGGTTCCACTGTAATCTCTTATACGGTCACCCCTCCTATCACTTAAACGTAATCAAATTAAAATGAAAGATTATATTGATTATGCTTAACCCACCAAAGCAGGTTTGTTTTGTCGTGAATTGTAATAATGTCGTGAATTATAATACCTGTCGTAACTTGTAGTAACATTTGCCGAGTTATTGAATTGTAATAACCAAGCTAACACTCTGTCATAATAAATCAACAAGAAATCAACAAAAAATCAGTAATAAATCAATAAATAATCAACAATAGATAAATACAACTTTACGGTTAGCAATGATCACATTGAAATCTTCAATATTAATCATACCTATCTTGGTGTAAGTTTCTCTGTCAATGGAAATTTTACAGATCAAATAGAAAATTTGGTTCTATCCATTCGAGAAATGTTGGCAGAAAGCTAGTGTGGGATGATATTGCACATTCATGTTATGATCAAGTGAAAAAACAGGGTATCCGCTGAACAGTTTCAAATGACCTTATCGCGGGCTCAAGTTTTGGCCCATTGAGATTACGTACTTTTTTAAGTCTTCCGCTGACAAGGGTTTAGTTTTTAGTAGATCGCAGACTCGACATTACTTTTTTAAGGAAATAACTTCTGTGATTATGAACCAGCAGTCGGTCTTGGAATTGGACTTTGTTTATCATGGTCACGCGTTGGTCACGCTCAACGTCCCATTTTTATCTCAGGCAAAATTTGACGGGTGAGTTCATATGAAAAATTTATGCAGCATCAGGAAACTTATTTACTGGATAGCTGAAGCTGACAGAGATTTGTGTCATCTTATTATGTTTTAATCTTTTTTTTGCATTGGATCTACACAATGAAATACACCTGTTATCAAGAATCTTTTGCTATTCATGGCTGGCGTGTTTATTGGGTTTTTGGTTGAGAAATGCGCCGCTTGACCAAAAAGTAATCGGAAATCATTATTTTCAAAAATAAGCTACTCTTATTAAGCACTTACTTCACCTTGCTGGATGCGTTTATGGAGGGTTCAAAAGCCTTACTTGATGGATTTCAGGAGCTGCATCTCGACCAGCAAGCTTGAGCAATAATGTTGCATTTGATGTTTTTTTTTTCTGGTTTCATGAAGTCGAGCGTTGTTTATGTCGTCACTTTAAGCATGTTTGTAAGATTTGAGACAATGATCTCAGTGACCTAGTACAGAACTTAAAAAAGTCTTAAAACATTTTCTAACCTCGACTAGAAAGAAAACGTTCTGAAGAATATTTAGTTATCCTATGGGTTGTGAAAAGAAAGCTTTGAGCGTTATTCTTGCCTCGAGTTCATCTTGAAAAAAAAAAAAAAAGCAAGCACGGCGAAGCCGGCTTAAAACATAAGCTTTACCAATAACAACAACAACAACAACAACAACAACAACTTAATCTATGTCAACCCAATATTTGACAAGAGAAAATGATGAACTGGCTGCAAGAGTGAACGGTACCAGGAGCTATTACCGTTAAAAGACTAGACGCTGAGAACCAAGAACTAGCCTCGGTCACATCAGTAATGTGTGTATCTCTCACAAGAGAGATGACGTAGCCACTGCGCAGTAGACCGACACGTTTAACTGGATAGGAGATCCCGTTAACATTTAAAGTGATAAGTTTGACGGTGACGGGTAGTAATAAAGAAAAAGAGAGGGCGCACGACGCAAAGTAGGACCTGGCTTGGCCAGCTTTCAGCAACAACTTGAGGAAAGCTATGCCTCCCTGACAATGGCTTCAGAAGAGGGGGCTGGTGAACACAACTGCTGCCACGCGAACCCTTGGCTTTGCCACACAGGTCACGCGCCTCATATTGCATCCCAACCTGACGAACAGGAGAGAGAGAATCAGCGTCTCCACCAACCTTGGGAGTTGCAGAAGATTTGACAGCAAAATCCGCCGGGGAATCCGCCGAAAACCAATAAGTAACAAACTCCATACTCTCACTGTGTCACCCTCAGAAAAAGGGGGATTAAGAGAGGGAGCAGTCCAAGGAGAATCAGAATCAAGAATAAGAGATTAATTTGGACCATACTTGGCAGCAGATTCACCCTCATGAAGACTGGATTCTTCTTCATTTAAGACAACAATTAGCTTTTCTGAATCGTCATTATTTTGCTATTTATTTCCTCCTACTTAGCAAGATACTTATTATCACGAACTTTCTCTAATTCGAAGGTTTTTGGTATTCTCACAACGAGAAAGTCGAATCCATTCTGCGTAACAGCAATAGGAAATGTGATCTACAGAACTTGGCTTTTTTTTCCAAGTTTACCTCCAGCGTTGTATTTCGCTCGAGGTCAAGTGTATTCCTAGGGACCTGATCATGAACGCCAGTGCGGACTGTATCAGAAAGCTTTTTAGCTTCGACGATAACGACTTCTGGGGTCCTCATGCTATTGCCAAGTTCGCCTGTAGCTACAATACCAAGTTGCCTAGATTTAACTATTCGATTCTTTCAGCTGGGTTGCGAGGCTCTCTTTTCTCAAAATTGGGGTTACGACAACAATAACGGGCTTTGTCCTCCGGTTTGTCTCACTGTTAGAGTCATCGGGCCCTTGTTCTCTCCCTATGGAAGTCACCTATTTTCTGGAATGTCTTTACTAGAGATGGAGTGCTGTGGAATGGATTTGTTGACAACTGGCTTTATTTGCCTAAGTTCCTGGGGTTATTTGTTCCAGTCTCGTCCGCAATTCCCTTTTCGAATCCAGGCCCTTAGATTTTGACTTCGTAGCGAATCAATTTTCGGTGCCCCAGTTCTCCCTCCTCCCTGGCGGGCTTCTGCTTTACGCCTGACGGGAAAGTTTTACTTGCGCTCCTAGTCGCTTTCTATGCGTATACGTTCAGGTGTGAAGCCGTTAGATTTTTTACACGTAACCTCTTGCTCATGGCTATTTTTGCAGTTATTTTTTTGTGCCCCTTCTCTTTCCCCTCTATTTGGGAGTTCCCTTTTCCTGGTTCGTAAGCTTGCATTTATTATTCTTTTTTTTCTGTGCTCAAAATTTGACGGGTGAGTTCATGTGGAAAATTTATGCAACATCTGGAAACTTGGTTACTGATAGCTGAAGCTGACTGAGATTTGTGTCATCTTATTATGTTTTAACCTTATTTTTGCACTGGATCTGCACAATGAAATACATCTGCTATCAAGAATCGTTTGCTATTCATGGCTGCGTGGTTTTTGCTTTTTTTTTTTGTTTTTTTCCTGTGCTCCTCACATTTTTTCTTTTGTTTTTTTATTACCTTTGAGAAATATTCCGTTCTGGTTTCTGACGCGGACTCCAGAATTAACTACCAGAGCGTTCAATCCTGAGGCTGACTGACAGTCTACAATCTACGGTTCTCTCCTCAAAGGCCATTAGTACAACTGTGGTGTACAATCGTGCTTTTCGCAAGCTGAAAGATTTTGCTACCAGTAAGATTCATTCCTGCGCCCATCCCGCCAGTCCCAGCCATGTTGCCTTGCGTTTACAACACCTCTTTGACGAGTCGTAGACTCGGCTTTTTACGGTATTAAATGGGCTCATAGCATGGCGGGCATTTCCTCTCCCTCAAAGGTAGTATACACAATAGAGGCTCTAGGTCGCGTGGTTCAAGGTGGATCCTGTCAATCCACCGATGCGTCATGAATAATATATAGATTTAGCCACGGCTAAAAGCGAAGCTCCCATTGATGAATTCATAATTTAAATCAAACAATAAACTTGTATTCCACAAATCAGTTAACTTAAGGGCACATTCATGTGACTTTTGAGTGAAAAGCTAAGTGATTTGGGAGTGAAACAAATCTTGCATCGAGTTGATATAGCCTTATATGTACACCCAAAAAATAGTCTTCCGTCACATTTAAGAGCAATAATGGCTCTTGATCACAGTAGATAAGGCGTGGAAAACAAATCAGGCCGAATTTTTTGCATTCGACAAGTTAACTTTACAAATTCTTGCCAATAAATCTGGGTGCGTGGAAACCAACCTTTTCTTTCTACACCACATCTGAGGGGAAAGAGTACTATGAGGCGCTGTTTTTATCATACAGACCTCTACAAAATGCAGTATTTCACAATTTTTCAAGACAAATTGCATTCATTCAATATTCAGGACCATCGAAGCACGCGTGTAGTGAAACAGTTCAAA